CCTACCTTGCGCTTCCTGGCCACTTTATTAGAAACACCTACCTTGTGCTTCTTGTCCACTTTATTAGAAACACCTACCTTGCGCTTCCTGGCCACTTTAATAGAAACACCTACCTTGTACATTCACTCACCATTTTATTAGAAACACCTACCTTGTGTTTCCACTCACTGGCCACTTTATTAGAAACACCTACCTTGTGTTTCCACTCACTGGCCACTTTATTAGAAACACCTACCTTGTGCTTCCACTAACTGGCCTCTTTATTAGAAACAGAGAGTGGACTATCCACCCAAAAATATTCAGTCAGGAAAGAGAGGCTCTGTGGTCAGAAACTGACCATTGATGAAGGGCTATAGGATGTTAATTTTAGCACGGCTTCAAATAACAAGCCTTTTATTACAGAAAAACCTCCAGTCTGAAGGACAGAACTGAAGCACTACACACACAGTGAACAACATCAAATGCTTGGTTAGTGTGTGTTTATGTACAGTGCTAGCCAGTTTAACAACTAATCCATCTTAAGTTTCGTCTGTTTTAAAGGATTGTGATCTGTAATTTCTGTGTAATGTCAGAGAGATTAGATAAAAACTTTGGCTATAATAGCCATTGTGCTTCACGCTAAGTTGTTTTCCCTCTTTCCTTTAAACACCATATTGCGTGTTGTGCTTCGTTCTGTCCAACAAACTGGAGGTTTTTCTGTAATGAGAGGCTCTTTGCTTGAAGCTGGATTGAGCCTGACGTTGCTGGAGGCTGCAGGAGTCCAGCTTCACAGTGAGGACTGTAGCCAAACTGTCAGGCAAAGTCAAACATTATGGCTGGAAAATAAACATTTTCTTAATTTACCATGTTAAGCTTGGCACAGCTAATTTAATCGGTTTGTTCATTCATGAGCTGAAGAGTTCATTTGCAAAAACAAATATCTCACTGCTTCCTATAGAGTCACTATGAGTTATGAAGTTTAGTCTTTTCCACCCAAATGTTGGTCTTTATCCAGTATGAATCGTCTCTCATGGCTGAATCCAGAGTGGGTCTCTGTGAGACTCTGAGCTCTGTTTAGATCAGTAGCCGTTAGTTTCACACCTGTGTGCTGCTTTTTGTTGGGAGAAGGAGTCGTTTGAGATTCTGCCTCGAATAGTCGGCGGCAGTGCTGAGTCACATGACACAAATACTGCGCTCTGATTGGTGGAGAATAGCACTGGCGTTTGACCGTTTCTGCTGTAAAACATGAACTTGTGATGCCTCGACGATGAACAATAATGGCTTTAGTGGCTGAACGTGTTTAGGGTTCAGAGTGAGCTGAGGTTAGAGTAACTCACCACAGGCAGCTCCACTTTAAAGGAGGTTTATTGGTTTTTGCAAAGTTGTTCATTCAGATTTCTTGAGCTATAAGTGTCACGTCTGTCAACATGTTCTTTAAGTGTGACTCGAATCTGGATTGCTGACTCGAGTCCCCATCTGTGCTGACCCGTATGGCAAATTTTCTTGAGATATTTTATTTAAATATAGAAATCAATGGCTTACAAAACACAGAGATGTACACACAGCAAAACAGACTCAAAACAGAAACAGATCTCAGAATCTGAAATCTTAGAGGAAGATAAGTTTCTTATACTTTTGTGTTACAGATCAAATAAACAGTTGTAACCATGCAGGTCTTTATACAGAGTCTTTATGCCCTCTTATACAGGGCCGTATCTGATATTAAACAGGTTCCACTGCAGGGTCCAGCTGAAGAAGGTCATCCTTGCTTTACCTGGAACGTTCTTCTTCAGCAGGTCCACAGCAGGCAGGAGATCCTCAGGTCTGGAGACATAAGCAGGCTGTAAGAAGTGGCCTCTCTTTAGATGGAGGGTCGCCCTTGGTGGAGCTGTCTGAGGCCGGCTCTGTGACCTTTGACCTCAGAAAGTCTTGCGTCTCATCCGGGACGTCCAGACCAGGAGAGGAACGCCAGCAGCACAGCGACGACTGGGAGATGGAGTACAGTATTAGCAGTCTAGCCTCCCCGGTTTCTAATAAAGTGGCCAGTAAGTGGAAGTACAAGGTGGGTGTTTCCAATAAAGTGGCCAGTGCGTGGAAGTACAATATAGGGGTTTCTAATAAAGTGGCCAGTGAATGGAAGTACAAGGTGGGTGTTTCTAATAAAGTGGCCAGTAAGTGGAAGTACAAGGTAGATGTTTCTAATAAAGTGGCCAGTGAGTGGAAGTACAAGATGGGTGTTTCTAATAAAGTGGCCAGTGAGTGAAAGTACAAGGTAGGGGTTTCTAATAAAGTGGCCAGTGAGTGGAAGCACAAGGTAGATGTTTCTAATAAAGTGGCCAGTGCGTGGAAGTACAATATAGGGGTTTCTAATAAAGTGGCCAGTGAGTGGATTTACAAGGTGGGTGTTTCTATTAAAGTAGCCAGTGCGTGGACGTACAACATAGGGGTTTCCAATAAAGTGTCCAGTGAGTGTACATTAGCAGTCCATTCTATAAAACACTATCATCAGTGTTGCACTGAACTTTCTGACTCTGAATGAATCTCCCCGTAATGTACTTCAGCTCCTACTTCCTGGGACTTTGTTCCCCAAACAGTGTTCAAGGTTACCTTAAGTGAAGTCAGAGCGAAAGTTTTGATGATGTTAGACACGATAATCATGCAAGATTAATTCTACACTCCACCTGCTGCCACATCCGATTTCCAGCGGGATGCACGCTACTTATTCATAATTCATCTGTAAACAAAGCGCGCTGGCACAACTTCACTCCGCTCTCACGGAGCTAACAAGCTGCATTTCTGCCCTGCTTTACTGCTCTTTAGCTGTAACGTAATCAAATGTGAGCTGATGTTAAGAAATGTCAATGAATGAGCTTCAATCAACTGAATCAGCTGATTCAAACTCAGAGGGATGATCTGTCATTAGGCACAGTGACACTGCCTGGTGTCTTCACAGTATATACCTACACTGAACACAGATTTGAAGTCGTCTGTTGCTCTTCTGCTGGGTTAAAGGCACTGGGGGGATGGAGGGGGGCGGGGGGGGGCTCATGCCTCCTCCACTTTCGAAATTATGTTACAATCTAATTGAATTATAACTTTGGGGGTGGCGGGATGACATAGCTGAGTCGAAACAGAGATGTTATTACATAGCTGTCAATTACATTTGAACTCTAATTAAAGCAAAAATGGATTGTAGATTGTTGTTTTGTTTAATCAGGTCAGTATTGACAAAAGAAAAGAAACAGTGATGTTTTCTTTACTGGACTATGATTATTTATTGAACAGTTTTTAATAATCCTTCTTATTCTGCTTATTTATCTTCACAGTAATCATCATTGAAGTATTCTGCTAAAATCAGACAAAGAATTTGGACACAATGGAAAGAAAACAGTGCTGTTATGAACTGCAATAAAACTAAATCTCTAAGCTGCGCATGTATGGCATTATTATACTATTTAATAGTATTTTTAATGTTTGTGTTTTAACACATAAACAGTACACATATACTGCTGTATGTAGGCTGTAGCCTCCTGACGTTCACAGACAATCACTTTAACACGTTTCCCTGAACAGAAAACCTACACAAAATGTAGACGGACACACAAACCCACCAGTAAATAAGGAAATATGTCATGTTAAGGAAGAAAAATAAATTCTGATTCATGTGACTTTAAATCTGAAAGACTTTCATCACATTTGTGTCTCCATTGACAACAGAAACATCCTTCCATCCATTTCAGTGTGAAGAATCAGAGCTTTCTGTGAGCTCCCCTGTTTCCTATCACCGTATTAAAAATGCACAAAGCCTTTATTGTTGGACGTGTTTGTGTTTTGAGCTCATTCATGACAGAATTTGAAATTGGTAAGTGCTTTTTATTGTTTTTGTTCAATTGGAGTAACGATAAAGCGCCACTGATGTGTGACTTATATTCCTAATCATGTGTTTTCTTGTTAAAAAATATACTTTTGACATAAAAAATATAAATGAAAACACTGCTTTAAGCTTGAGCTCAGCTATAGCTGCTTTTCTCACATCTCCAGCAGGAAACTTTTCCACAAAAGTAGAACAGTTTCTGTAAAATGTCTCTCAACTCGAATTTTCCAGTTCCACCATAAATGATGCCTGAGAATGTAACGAGAAAGTTTGCACAAGAAGCTGGCGAAGGAGAAACTGACTTCAGATTCGCGACTTTTTAGTGTTTCAGTTTCTCATTGCAGATTAAACGTATCAGGAAACCAGCTGGAGTGAATATAAACACTAATAAGTCAATTTATCTCCAAATTATTGATGTTCATCTTAAATCTCTCTCTTTGCCGTTTCGTTAGCTACTAGCTAGGCGAGACTGTTGTCTGTGTTGCTATGGTGACCAGCAGTCTGCGCTGATCTTCAGGGTTAAAGGGTGAATTAGCAGTTCTACATTAACTCCAGAGTTTAAGACCATTTATTGTTAAACTGTGTTGAACGATCAGCAGAGCTTTATTTTACTGTAAAGGAGGATTATTTTATTTTTACCTACAAATCTGATTCAGCTGTGGAGCCGCAACAGGGCAGTAAAAGAGCCGCATGAGGCTCCGGAGCCACATGTTGCCGACCGCTGGTTTAGCTGAACAATTCATACAGGTGTTTCTACATAAATGTTTACTGACAGAATTCAGCAGCTGCCAGTTCACTTCTTTTATAGGCGTGTTTGAAGTCAGTGAGTTTGCTGTTCTTTTCTAAGTTCAGGGAAACGTGTTGAAGTTATTGGACATGGACAATCGACCGTGCGCTACAAAAGCAGCAGATAGACATTAAGCAGAGAAGTGCTGGAGTATTTCTTTAAAAGCACTCAGCCAGACAGACTCAGTCTCTGACGTTACCTGGAAGTGTTTCTTAAACCTCTTGCTGGCGGCGTACAGAGCGATGGGATTGATGCAGGAGTTCAGCGAGGCCATGTTGATGCCCAGGTAGTCCAGAACAAGGAAGGTGCTGGAACACCAAAAAGCAAAACGTTGTACCAGCACAGCAACACCGATGCGATGAGTGCGACTCTTATTGCTTTTCTCTCTCTGTCCTACCTCAGCAGGTCACATCTGCCGGGGTCTTTCTCGTCGTAGATGGTCAGCTTCAAAATCCTGCTCAGGTGCAGAGGAAACCAGCAGACGGCAAACGCGAGAACCAGACAGAACACGGCCCGGGCTGCTTCCCGTCTCTGTGGGGGGGACGGGACAGAACCAACAAACATAACAGCTCAGTGGGCCAAGCGTTAAAGCTATAGTTTTATAGCTTTAAGTTATATATATATTTTTTGTCCACATTAGGAAGTGTTTACCCATGTGATGATTGGGTTCTGAGAAGATTGGGTTCTGTAGCTGAACAGACATTAGACTACATCATGAGCACAGCTAACTGTAGGGCTGAATGATTTTTGAAAAATATCTAATTGCGATTTTTCTGACCGATATTGCGATTATGATTTAAATTGCAATTGCAAGGGTTCCACTATTGTTACAAGCCAAAGAACCCTTTTTTGGTACTATATAGAACCATTTCTGCGAAGAGTGTATGTAGAACTTGTTTGAAAAGGGTTCTATGTAGCACCAAAAGGGTTCCACTATAGCTACAAGCTTGATATTATAACAATAGAAGTGGTGCACAACAATGCTCCAAATCTGACTCATTTTGTCCTGCATACATTTTCCCCCCCAAATGACCCCGGATCCTCTGAATTACGGGTCATTAAGGGGTCAAAATACAAATGATTCTACTAGCATTGAACTAAGTCAGCTGTTAACCTTCAACACTGTTATATAACAACACCAACTACTCAAAACTCAACCGCCAAAGCCTCCAAACTACCACACTGGACAAAGCTTGGTGGTTTGCATGGGGCATTCTGGTGAACTTTCCAGGATTTCCTGGATTTTGGGAAAAAATGCCAATCCCAGACTCAAAGGTCCTGGAATCTGAGCATTTTTCACATGTTAGCATTTCATATGGAGTTTAAACTGCTTCTTTTATCCAGTCAAATCATTTGCACACAGAGAATGGGTTTGATTGGTCCACATTACCCTCAACATAGGGACAGCTGTTCCGAATGGTGGATAGTTGGGCGCTAGACAGCACTGATATGTGATAACTGTGAAGACTGGGCTCCGTAGCTGACCAGATATTAGACTACATCATGAGCATAACTAACTGTAGGGCTGAATGATTTTGGAAAAATATCTAATTGCCATTTTCTGACCAATATTGCAATTACGACTTAAATTGCAATTGCAAGCGTTCCACTATTGTTACAAGCCAAAGAACCCCTTTTTGGTACTATAGAACCATTTCTGCTGAGAGTGTATACAGAACCTGTTTGAAAAGGGTTCTATGTAGCACCAAAAGGGTTCCACTATTGCTACAAGCTTGATATTATAACAATAAAAGAGCTCTTTTTTCAAAAAAGGTTCTATATAGAACCATATACAGTACATTCTCCATCACTCTGATGAACCATTTCATGATGCAAAGAACCATTTGATCATGCAAAGGGTTCTTTGAGTGTTCATGGTTCTTTATACGTTTTCTTTACTAAAGAACCCTTAAAGAACCATCCTTTTTAGAGTGTATACGGCATCTCAAGTCTCAATTTTGACCATATTTGTGTCCAGTGGCTGCAGATATGACGTTCTACCCAACATGTCTATTTGTTGGTTCCATACACAGGGTAGAACATCTACCCCTTTCCACATGTTGGCTCATGGCTCTGGGAGAAGCTCCACCCACGTCTCTTCCTTCTGCTATGTACAACGCCTGTTCCTGCAGTCTGTCCTCTCACAGATCTTTTCCAAAACCTTTTCATTGTGTTCTGTTGGCTTGTAGATTAAGTTTATATGTGTATATTGAGTTTGAGGATCCCATACAAGCACAGGAACCCACATATTCAGACACCACACCAGCTGTGTACCTGTTTAAGGTGGTAGTTCATCTCCGTGCGCTGACCACCTCCCCTCAGCATCTCCCAGCTCATTCGGCCGTAGAAGACTGCAGTGCAGGCCAGAGGCACGAGGAAGTAGAACCCAAACAGCCACCAGTCTTTAGCTGCTTTATAAAACTGCACGAGAAGAGAGAACGACTGTAAAAATAGGACACTGCAGGACAATATCATTACTGTTTATAGAACAGCTGGTAGATATTTTGAAGAGAACATAGTATTTGTATTTCACAGGTGATTACTAGACTTACCTCTTCAGTTCAGGCCATAAAACTCAGTCAAAAACAAGGAAAAAACTGACCTCTACAATAATACTAATTTCTGCTGGCACCTCTATGGGGTTTCCAAAAGTGTGTTAAACATGCCAAACTGGAGACCTTCCAGGCCAAAGTGCTGTGGAGATCAGGGTTTACCCTCATCTAATGCTCTGAATTAGCTGATGATGTGAATCAGGTGTGTTTAATGAGGCAGTGTCCTGAAGTCTGGAGCAGAGGTCTGCAATGGACTGTTTTTTTAGTCCCGCTCCCACCTGCAGTTCTGGTAGGGTGAACTGACATCCAATATCTGACGCAATCTATTCACAAATGCATTATTCTCTGCTGAAATAACTCGGCAGTCATTGTCATCAGGCTCACTGCGAGAAACTTCACCAAAGACCTTTTATTCCCAGCAAACATGAAGCAGGAATTAAACCACAGAGGGGATATTTTTGGTGTTTTGCTGGGCAGCTGTGGCCGCCAGACTGAAGGCTCCACCATCTCTGTGAGATACGAGAATCTGCATGTTGTTTACGTGATCGGCTGCTTCACAGCTCTTTAGAATGACTTCATTCATTTTAACTGTTTTGCTGTTATCATTATATATTGTGTATATATAAGATTAGTGATCGTCCTACTTTATTTAGGCTATTCATTAATGTGCGAAATTTCTCTTCGTGCGTGCTTCGTCCCGCTCCCGCCTGCAGTAGGCTAGTTACCCTGCACTGAGGATTAGTCCCACACCGCAAGATATTGTGGCAGGTCCAGCAGGAATCCACGGAAGTACAGACCTCTAGTCTGCAGTGTTTTGGCCCTCGAGGACTGGAGCCTGACACGTGTGTTAAAGCTAAGCTGACAGATGTTTGAAGCTTGTAAAAGACATTCCAGATGTTTTATTTGAGTTGTATGTATCAGTTTTACAGTGTCTCAGTAAAGAGTCCTGACATAGAGCTGCTCCCAACCAATGGGAGAGCTCGCTTGGCTGGATCGACCTACATACCACAGAATAAACAATCCTGATTGAATGATTTTCCAGTGGATATTTGAAGATTGTAACCCTTTTGTTTCCAACCAAAACTCAACCATGAAATAAGAGTATTACTACAATACTTGGGGTTAAATAGATCAACCATGATGATTATAATAAATAAAAATCAACAAAAAATGTAATGTATTTTTTGTTATTGTACAGAAATCAATAGGCCTTCTCTGAAGCCCTAGAACCTCCTGAGAGTTGCCCACTGGGTCATATATATCATGCAACCTGTTGGACAAACTGCGGACTTCAAATCTTAATTTGGTTCTGGATTTTGTTTTAATAGCAAGTTGTTCTTAAACTGAGTCTTAGTGTATGTTCCTGGGTGGAACCTACATTTTCCATTTAAAAAGTCAGAAAGTGAAAGTGCTCTCCAAAAGAAATCCCCCCAGACCTCCTCACATTCCTCCACACTCCTGCTTTAAAGGATGGGCACCAGCACAGCATTTTCTGATGTTATCACATCTCTAGAGCTGCATCCTGGACAGCTAAACACGCTTTAGGCTTTACTCAAGCTTTATTGTGTTCAAGTTTTTAAGCCCCCGATGGCTCAGATGTTAGAGCCAAGTCTGGATTATGGGTACTGTTACCCCCCCCAGTTCTCCCCCTTCAAAAACAAACTCACTCACTCGCATGTGAAGATCACTGCGCAAAGAAATGTGCCTAAGCTCTCCACAAGGAGGCCCTGCAGTCTCCATGAACCCACGCCACAGCTCAGAAGCAGAGTTAATGAAAAACTGTAAAACTCCTCTCCTTCCAGCTACACAGTTATGAGTTTAGGAGGTGGAAATGCACGTAGGGTGCAATCCTAAGGCCCTGTTTAATTTTGGGGCATGTTTTTTCATATCTGTCCCAGTGTCAGGTTATCTGGAACATGTTTTGTAGATCTGTTTCTATTTTGGGGTAATCTGGAGCATGATTTGTAGATCTGTTCCTGTGTCAGGGTAATCTGGAGCAGGTTTTATAGATCTGCTCCTGTGTTGGGGTAATCTGGAGCATGTTTTGTAGATTTGTTCCTGTGTCAGGGTAATCTGGAGCATGATTTGTAGATCTGTTCTTGTGTCAGGGTAATCTGGGGCATGATTTGTAGATCTGTTCCTGTGTTAGGGTAATCTGGAGCATGTTTTGTAGATTTGTTCCTGTGCCGGAGTAATCTGGAGCATGATTTGTAGATCTGTCTCAATGTTGGGTTGATCTGGGGCATGATTTGTAGATCTGTTCTTGCGTTGGGTTAATCTGGAGTATGATTTGTAAATCTGTTTCTATGTCGGGGTAATCCTGAGCGTGTTTTGTAGATCCTCCCCATCAGGCTGTTAGTGAGCGTCAGGTCATTGGTAAGCGGAGCATCTGTGATGAGGTAATCCGGAGCATGTTTTGTAGATCTGCCCCTGTGCTGGGCTAATCTGGATACTGTTGGTCTCTTTCCTTCAAACTCCACATTTGCTGCATGCAGCGCTTTGTTCTGCCCATCAGACTGAAGGTTGTTCCAGAATGAAAGGCTTGTTATTTTAAGCTGTGTAAACCTGGCGCAGCTACAAGCTGTAAAAGAAAAGCCTTACAGTAATTTCTGTGCACGATCGCAGCAAAACTGACACACACAGTCAAATATGGAAGGTTAGAAATGAAAACTTGTATTAATTCACTGCTTTAAGGTTTTTGGCCCTATTTTAATCGGTTTTGTGTCTTTCCTCCGGTTTAGATTACATGAGTCTTAAGTCTCAAGTCACAGTCAAGTTGCAACTTAACATGCAAGTCAAGTCTGGGTTGCTGACTCGAGCCCTCATCACTGGGTTGGGCCACAGGTGGTGCGTCCTTTTGTGTACTGGACTGTGTTTCTCTTCATTCGCATGACACAGGCTGAGAATCTGGGTCCACGTGTCACAGAAGGCCTTGCATATGCATACGTGATGGATTTTCTTGTAGTTCATCCGGACAGACCAGCAGAATAGAGACCTTACTACGGAATCGAGCGGGGGCAGCAGATGAGTTGCCGAAGGTAAAAGGCTGTCTGCTGGCAGGGGACTTTTCTACACAGTGTGTCCCTACTAACTGTTTTTAGATGACTGTGTGTCGTGCGGGTGATGGAATCACACTGCAACACCATCGCTGGGTAAAGACACTGTCCTACTAATCTTCTGCTACACGCTCAGAAACTGAATTCTGCTAACCAGAGAGCAGTGAGGGGGGACATCATCAAAACATCTGCAGACTGATCTCTCAAACAGCCTGAAGCTAATGAATCGTGTACTTTCAGGGTGGCGAAATGGTGAAACAGTCTAAAATGGGGAGTTTTGTGCCAGGCTGAAAAAAGCTCTATAATGTTCATATGATCCACACGGTCACTCTGACAGACTGTAATACACTACAGGAAGTGTAGGGGGCGATATGGCTTCTACTGTTTCATTTAAAAAGCCTCTATAATGTTCATATGATCCACACGGTCACTGTGACAGACTGTAATACACTACAGGAAGTGTAGGGGGCGATATGGCTTCTACTGTTTCATTTAAAAAGCCTCTATAATGTTCATATGATCCACACAGTCACTCTGACAGACTGTAATACACTACAGGAAGTGTAGGGGGCGATATGGCTTCTACTGTTTCATTTAAAAAGCGCTCTATAATGCTTCCCTTCACTACGACAAAGTAGGTTCAGAAATAATAATAATTCTGAGGGACCTGCCAGGAACCTGTCTGTTAGAACAAATCTCTACTGCCTTCTAGGCAGGGAGCGTCCATAAACGACATGGAGACAAACACATGAAGAGATAAAGCAGGAAGTGAAATGAAAAAGGAGTAATTATAGTTTACCAACAGCTTTGAATACTGAAACCACCCACTTTTCGGCGGCGCCAAGAAGAAAGTCTTTAATAGCATGTTTTGTAGATCTGCCCCTGTGTTGAGCTAATCTGGAGCATGTTTTGTAGATCTGCCCCTGTGTTGAGCTAATCTGGAGCATGTTTTGTAGATCTGCCCCTGTGTTGAGCTAATCTGGAGCATGTTTTGTAGATCTGCCCCTGTGTTGAGCTTATCTGGAGCATGTTTTATAGATCTGCCCCTGTGTTGAGCTAATCTGGAGCATGTTTTGTAGATCTGCCCCTGTGTTGAGCTAATCTGGAGCATGTTTTGTAGATCTGCCCCTGTGTTGAGCTTATCTGGAGCATGTTTTATAGATCTGCCCCTGTGTTGAGCTAATCTGGAGCATGTTTTATAGATCTGCCCCTGTGTTGAGCTAATCTGGAGCATGTTTTGTAGATCTGCCCCTGTGTTGAGCTAATCTGGAGCATGTTTTGTAGATCTGCCCCTGTGTTGAGCTAATCTGGAGCATGTTTTGTAGATCTGCCCCTGTGTTGAGCTAATCTGGAGCATGTTTTGTAGATCTGCCCCTGTGTTGAGCTTATCTGGAGCATGTTTTGTAGATCTGCCCCTGTGTTGATCTTATCTGGTGCATGTTTTGTAGATGTATTATAAATTTAATTTAATTAATTTCTAACACTGGAACTATGCCTCTTTGACTGTACCAAGAATATGGCCTTTAATAGTTTTAACAAAAAGGAATATTTTCAGGCTCTGCAAGGCTTCATTACTTCTCTTACAGGTGAAAAACTTGCAAAACATTTCTATTTTACTGCCGTACAGTGCCCTCAGCATGTTTGGGCATTTGAGATTTGTTTTAGTACATTACCTTCATAAACTGTGAGGACTGCACTGGGTGAAGCAGACATATCCTCAGCCGCTCTCCTTTATAGTCCATCGTAATCAGATCAAACGCTACAGCCTCTGGGACGGCCAGCAGGGTCGATACGGTCCATATTAAGACCAGTTTAAAAGCCGTCCACTTCGGAAGCCCCAGCGCTTTGATAAGACTCCTGGACGCAACAACTCGATACCTTTCGGATAAAAACACAATATTTCAGTTTCAGGGACACATACACTGAACCCACAGTGGCTGGGAGCAGCGTAAACACATATATCATATTAAAAACAACTAGATTGAATTTAAATATGTAGCTCAAAAAATGCTGTGATAATTTAATCTCTCTTAAATTGTAACTTCATAGGAGAAGTAACAGCACATTCTGAACCCCAATGTGCACTAATGTAATTTCATTTTATTCCAACAGATTTATAAGAATACATGTTATTTACACAGCACTTTCCATACACATAATGCAGTTTTCATACAAATGGAAGAAATCGCTCACCAGATAAGGAGAGCATCACGCTAAAACTGAAGTTATCTAGATAGTTTACCTCAATTTGGCTCTTTCTCCGACTGAAAGGGTAAAAACTCGGTCCATTTAGTGCTGAATAAGAGAGAAACTTTTAGTTTTTCTGATTTTACTATTTTTATGATTTGTTTTTCTTTTTTTTGACAACTGAGGTAGGAGTTACACTAATGCTAGCTTGTTTGTCTCTATTAGTGTGTAGCCAGAGCAGGACTTACAGCTGCTACAGCTCAGCAGCTAGGCTAGGGGTCGCAACCCAAATGTTAAAAAGAGGCATTTTGTCCTTTCAACAAAAATCAAACCACCCTGGGAGCCACAACATTTTATGTCTGTTTTACCATCTCAGTAAATTATAATATTAAAAAACATAGCCTTTGCTCTGCTTTAAGCTGTAGCTCAGCTATAGCTGCTTTTCTCGCGTCTCCAGCAGGAAACTTTTCCTCAAAACTAGAACAGTTTCTTGTAAAATGTCTCTCAATGTTTGACTTCTTATGAGGCTGAAGTCGCTTCTCATTCACCAGCTTCTTGTTTGAATTTTCCCGTTCCACCTTAAATAGTGCCAGAGGCACCAGAATGTAACTGCTGCACCATTTAAGGTGGAACGGGAAAATTTGAACGAGAATCAGGCGAATGAGAAACTGACTTCAGTTTTGTGACATTTTAATGTTTCAGTTTCTCGTTGCAGATTAAACGTATCAGGAAACCAGCTGGAGTGATTATAAACACTAATAAGTCCATTAATTTCTCTTTGCCTTCGTTAGCTACTAGCTTGGCAAGATTGTCTGTTGTCTGTCTGTTGTTGTCTGTGTTGCTATGGTGACCAGCAGTCTGTGCTGATCTTCAGGGTTAAAGGGTGAATTAGCAGTTCTACATTAACTCCAGAGTTTAAGACCATTTATTGTTAAACTGTGTTGAACGATCAGCAGAGCTTTATTTTACTGTAAAGGAGGATTATTTTATTTTTACCTACTAATCTGATTCTCCTGTGGAGCCACAAGAGGGCAGTAAAAGAGCTGCATGTTGTCGACCCCTGGACTAGGCTAACAGTCAGAACTGGTTGACACCACAGGGTTTCCCAAAGGTTGTATGACGTAACCTCAATGCAAACCAGTGTAATTATATTTTATTTTAGTGTTTAACGTTATAAACTTTATTTGTAGAGCACTTTTCATACGTCAGATACTAAAGTTCAGTAACAGTAATAAAAGAAAAGTATGTTGAATCAGTGAAAGTTTATGAAAGAGTATTCATAAAACAACAAAAGACAATAAAAACACATTAAAAACAATACATGCAAAAAAGGTACAACTATAAATAAAAGCCAAATTAAAGAGATACAATTTCAAGTTTCTTACTAGTGTGACTGAGCTCCACTGTCTAATAGAAAGTGAACTGTGTTCTACGGTTTAGAAGCAGAATAACAGAAACAGTGTTTTGTTTTCTGTAATCTACAGGGAAAAAAATATAAAAACAAAAGCTACAGAGGTTTGACATGACATTTTCAGTGAATTGTACATGATCTATGCTAAATGCTGCTCACCTGTCAATGCTCAGAGCACACAGACTCAGGACTGTGATTCCTACAGTGGTTTTCTGGACGAACGGGATGAGTTTACAGAGCGTGACTCCGAATGGCCAGTCGACAGCCAGAAGCTAATAAAAAACACCAAAAATGAGAAATTTATCTTGGGTTCAATACAAATCTGTTCAAAATGATGTGAAAACACTGTCAGGGTTCCTCAGGAAGTGCTGAGGGGTGCAATAATCTTAACTACCAAGATCTTTTAGTGCAGAAATTAAAGGGAAATTCTACCAATTTTTCAAGATTTCTGCATAATTAAATGGTTATGATGTAATCAGAGTCGTTCAGAGTGGTTTGGTGTGAAACGCTCTGTTCTACAGAAACTTGCAGAGTCAGAACTGTTCACAGTGGTGGTGATAGGAACCAGACGTCCACCTCTAAAAGCCCCCTCACAGAAAGTTACAACAGTAAATTGCACTGTGAGACGATTTGTATGATTTTTATGATAGTTTTGGCATACAATTTTGGGATTTTTTTTTTTTAAACCATTCAAGACAAAATATAACACTCAAAGAAAACTCAGTTTTAACACATGTAGGTTCACTGTTGGACATGGGGACCCCTGGTTCCTATCACCACCACTGTAAAGACATCTGTGAGCTTCTCCACAATAAACATCTCAGCCACTAAGTTATGCAGAAATTCTGAAAAATCTTCATTCCCCTTTAACCATTTCAGAATTCCCCTTTAAGCAAGGGCAAAAAAGAGAGCTGGAACTCTGGACTGAACTCACCTTATAAACATTGACTGGAATATCAATAACAATGTGGACGAGGTCTCCCAGAGCGAGGCTGGCGATGAGAATATTCGGGCCGTTTCTCATGCATTTGTGTGCCTTGATTATCCTGAGTAGAGTCACATTCCCGATGATTCCGAACAGGAAGACGAAAACACGACACAAACGTGTTGATATATTTGAAGACATCCTTTATCCTGGTCGGGCCGCTGCACATGGGGAGCAGCGCTGATCGGTTTGGGCCCTTGAGCTGTGGGCTTGAGCTGTTTGGGGCGTTCCACTGGTTCTCTGTGATGTTTTGGGGCGGAGAAGCTGCTCTGAAGGAATCCTCAGACTGTACATGGGCTAAAAGGATTATTTTAAAGGATGCTAATATCAGGAATATAGTCGTCTTCTCCATGCCTTCACCCTGCCAGCCAGCCTGCAGAGTCAAAACCAAGAGCTACAATTGAAAAAGAGTCAAATGTGGAAGATAACTTTCAATATGAGTGAACAAAATGACAATATTTAATATTTATGTGAAAGAAACAAAAGGGCCAGTAAGTGGAACCTCACTCCCATAACTACAGAACTTAGAGTAGTTATTGAACAATAACTCTTAAAAATAATACAAAAAAGCCTTAAGATTAATAACTAAACACCTACCACAGCTTCATATCAGACAGTGCCTTTTAACAGCCTTACATACATATAAGCCCAGTGCTGATTCAGCCACACCTCCCTGTAACGCAGCCAGCGTAGCTCACTAGTGTAGCGTAGGTGAATAAAATGATGTATCTCCCCGACTCATAACCTCAGTGCGTCACTCAGTGAAGCCCTCGGGCAGCTCATGCTTGGTTCTCCAGTTCTCCTTGTGCTTCAGACCCAGCCAGCTCACCCCAGGGGTCAGGTGACGTTCAGCTAACAGAACTAACAGCAGCTAACAGTCACTGGAGTTACAGTGAGTAACAGATAAATCACTGCACTGTAAAACAAAACAGCCTTTCAGTTCTCAGAGCAAAACATTCTTACTAACTGCTTTAACCTCTTCAACTCCTTGAGACCACCAGTGGTTCCAAAACGCACTTCATCATATTCTTCATAACTTTCATATTTCATAAGCTACATTCTAAAGGTGGGGGTCGTAAGAGAGCTGTAACTGTCTTCTTTCCAGTCAAATAGATGGGTGATGTAATTTTAAACCCTTATAATAAAAGAAGCTGAACTCAGTTTTTTTCTACTGAAAGTCGACCCATTTTTCCACAAATCTGGGCTGTAAAACTATAAACAGATGGCGTCTCTTCAGTGATCTGCTCTGTAAACATTTTATAAAATAATACAAAGAGCATCTCAGATTTTTGTCTTTCAGCAGTAAATTGTAAGCATATAGCAATATGTGTGATCATAAAACACATGTTCTGTTAATTTAAAGAGAACTTTTACCAAAAAGAAATCAATAAAATAAAAATTTACATTTATTTCATGCAGTTACTGCATTTGCCTTATGATTTGGTCACTTAAATTCAGATGGAAAAAAAATACAAAATACACACTGGTGAATAAGAGGTTAAAGCTCCTAAATTTTCCACAAGACGTTATTATTCTCAGCAATTATAAGAGGAAACTTCAAAAATACTTGTATAGTATTTCACTGTATTTTATGTAGTTTTATATGTAGATTTTTTTGCATTCTCTGCTGAAAAAAACAAAACAGCACAGGCCAACATGAACACCATGGGGGACTAGGGTGGTTTATGCTGGTCTAGTGCTGGTTTAGTCACCCAACATGGCCCTACTGGTTGACCAGCACACTAGTATTCAAAACACACTATATGCTGGTTTTGCTGGTAACCAGGCATGCTGGTCTATGCTGGTTTTTCTAGGATGGTTGTCATTTATCTCTGTCACTTTGTTGGCTCTTATTTTTAGCCTTCATTTAATTGTTTGTTTGTTTTCTGAATTACAGTCCTTGTTTACTTAGCAACCTGCCAGTTCATATCTCATTGATCTCTATAGATAACAATTAAACTTTTAGTCTCCAGCCACCTTCAGACAGCCTGTAACTGTTTTAGCTGAGTTTAACTCTTCACTTCTTTATTTATTATTATTAGTATTAGTATTATTCATGTATTTTATTTTAATATTTTATTGCAGCTGTTTTATTTGATGTTAATTCTTTTACTTTTCTATTCCAGTAAATAATTTAATAAAAGTTTTCTTATTGCTTTCTACCTAAGTTGGTTCATTCTACATTTTAATGTTTTCATTATATATTTCATTGATATTTTATGCCTGTTTTCTATTTGAGCTGTTATTTTTCAAATATTATTATAATTATTATTATACATTTTTTTGTCTTGATTTTCATTTGTTTTAGTTGGTAAATTTCATTTAAACTTTTTCAATCCCTTGTTATTTGCTCAGCCACATTGTAAATGAGCTAAAAATCACCCTGATTGATTGATTGATTGATTGATTGATTGATTGATTTTTTTGTCTGCTTGTTTTCAGTAACTCATGTTCTTCTAATAATTTTGAGCCACGTCAATGTATGAAAGCTACACTCTTATAAAAGATGGTGCTTCAAGAGTTCTTTAGTAAAGAAAATGGTTCTATATAGAACCATGAACACTCAAAAAACCCTTTGCATGATTAAAGAGTTCTTTGTATCTTTAAAGTGTTCTTCAGACTGATGGAGAATGTACTGTAGTTGGTTCATTACAGAACCTTTGAAAATGGTTCTTCTATTATTACGCCGTCAAGTGGTGCTATATAGAACCCTTTTCAAAAATATTCTACATAGAACCATCTATAGCACTTTCATGCACATTTTCCATCAATCTGAAGAACCCTTTCATGATGCAAAGAACCCTTTAGTCATATAGAGGGGTCTTTGAGTGTTCATGATTCTATATAGGACCATCTTCTTTATTAAAGAACCCCTAAATGCTGTTGACTTTATGAAGTTAATTCAGCTTCTGTGTTATTTGCTTTATGCACTCATGGTTGAACTTTGGCCCAGATGTTGAACCCCCTGAACACACAGTAATGAGCTCCGCCGCCTTTGCTCAGTGAAAGTCACTCACATTGACTCTCGACTCTTCACACCTGACACCTGGTGATCCGTCTGGAGCTCCGACAGCGTGTTTGGGATTTGAGTGGCTGAGTCATCGGTGCTGTTTGGGCTGCAGCCCTGAAGCTAAAACTGTGCTACTGTCGTCCTAATTAGCGTGCGCTGCTTCGGCTTGACGCCGGCTCTAGAACTGAGTGGAACATATATATGTCTTTAACTGAACAAATCAGTGCCGATTCTGCAGAACTCCTACTGTTTCAGTCATTCAGCAGAAAGAATAACGATAGATGTTTGTTTTGTTGGTGACAATAAATGCTCAGCTTTGAGAGCTGCTTCATACTGACGTCCCTGAACATGCTTAAAAAAGATGGTTCTTAGAGGGTTCCTTAGTAAAGAAAATGTTTCTATATAGAACCGTTTACATGATTAAAATGTTCTTTGCATCGTGAAAGAGTTCTTCAGTTTGACGGACAATGGTTCTATATAGAAAACAGAAAATGGTGCTATATAGCACCAAAAAAGGGTTCTGCTATTATATGACGCTTGACAATCCTAGTGATAGAAGAACCCCTTTGGTGCTACATAGAACCTTTTTAAAAGGTTTTTTGAGTGTTCTTGGTTCTATATAGAACCATTTTCTTTGCTAAAGAACCCTCAAAGAATCATCTTCTTTAATAAGGGACACTTTAAAAGAAGAATGGTTCTTCAAGGGTTCTTTAGTAAAGAAAATGAACCCTTTGCATGATTAAAGAGTTCTTTGCACTGTAAAAGGCTTTTTCAGATTGAGGGAGAACGTGCTGTAGATGGTTCTGTATAGAACCTTTTTGAAAAAGTAGTCTATATAGCACCAAAAAGGTTCTTCTACTGTTTTGATGTCAAGCAATAAAGGAACAATAAAGGAACTCTTTTGGGTGGTTTATAGAACCATATACAACACATCAGTCCGAAGAACCGTTCTGAAGAGCGCTTTCATGATGCAAAGAACCATTTAATCAGAGAAGGAGTGTTAATGGTTCTACATGGAAAACAGAGTCCTTAATGGAATTCAGAACCATTGATGACATTAAAGACAGACGTTGCCATGGAAGCTTCCAGAATGTTTTGTTTGTAATCATAGAATCATCGACCAAACAATCACTTCATATAACAGGTTCCGTTTTCTCTCTGTTGTAATGGCCACTGCTGTGTTTGATGCTGAAGGTGGACAGACAGCATAGAGCCTCTCGAGCCCATCACCACAGACCACATGGACGTGCATGAAGATGACAGAGATGCCAGAAAGTGTATGGTATGGTTCTATTTTTGAACAAAAGAGGTATAATAGATTTTCCACAATTTTACCTCAAACATAGTTCTGCTAACCTTTAGAACCCTAGAATTTTGGGGATTTCTTTTGGTATTTTTGGGTCAATTACAATGGCAATTATAAAGTATTTACATGTGACAGTCACACATGACATATGTAGTTATTTTCAGAAGGCCCTGGGCTGCTCAGATATGCCATAGTTTAACATGTAAATGCTGACAGAAATTTGATATCTTTATGAATTTGAGTCATTTCTGATCAAAAATGTACCCAGCACCTGCTAAATTTAGTATTTTTTTAATTATAGAGATCTTGAAAACAAGTGCAGCCGTAGTTATCTTTTCAGAAGTTGTTAGTCTGGAGTTTCTGTGGGCTGAAAGTGCAATAATTTTGATGGTGATTCATTCTGTTGGTTATTATGAGCAAAAATAAACAATTAGCATAAGGCAGACATGTGTTTTTTACTGATTTTCTGTCCTGTTGGATTCAGGCTCAGTGCTAAAACTCTTAAACAGCAAGATTGGCTTTATATTTAATTACAAATTCAGTTGCATATTTAATATCAGATATTTTTAATACTCAAAATCAATGTAAACTGAAGGACAGAGCTAGATATGATTAATTTTATAATATTGGTCACATTTATTGTTATTTATCTGTTAAAATGTGTTTTATTGCCTTTTTTGTTGGAATATGAAGGCCAAACAGCAGAGCAATAATATCGGGATTTTAGGTGATTTTCCGAGCCGAATTACTCCCTGATGCTGATGTCGCAGCTCAATGACATCATGTTTGCTCGTTAGGGGCGGGTCTGCTGAATGTCCTGACATGTGGATCATGTTTGTACCTTAAACCGTTC